TATATATATATATATATATATATATATATATATATATATATATATATATATATATATATATATATATATGTAAAAAGGAAGCAATTTTCACACTGGAAATATTTTTTTCTAATATAATGTTTTTTTCTTTACATGGAAATGTGTGCAGTTGTGTACACTCAGCTTTAGAAGAACAGCCTTCAGAGTATACATTATTTTACTAACGTACATGTAATTTTATAGGGTTTTTGAATGGTGTTACAACCAACCCACACAATGTTACAGCTGTGCCACTCTATTGGATACAGCTGTAACACCCGACTCCTTTTGGTTTCAGTGAAAATGTATGAGCCTCACTGACAGTATGGGGAAACTTGCACTTGATTGCATGATGTCATGTGGGAAGCATGAAGTCTGTAAATAAAATCATCATCAGGTATGTAAATAATCCCTTAAATAAAACCAGACCTTGTGTGCTTTGAACATTTTCAGTGTCTGCCTCTTTAAAAAGGTTTTCACTTTTATCTCATCTCACCACATACCACACTCCTACTGAGCCCAAAATACATACAAGAAGAAGAAAATCAAAGTTGTTTGGCAAATTTGCCAAAAACAGCCTAAAATTTCTAATTCTTTTGTGGGTGTGCTCATTTTGTCTGTACAGTGTAATTGCAACACAAATGTAAACCATGGCCAGTGATGAAGCTTGAAAGAAAGCAGATGTTTGGCTCTCTGCCGAGAGCTACATGTACAGAGAGAACACCATCATGGAGTGGCTTTACACTGAATTTACTAATTCAACCTCTTGAGAAAAGGCAGAAAAGGGAGCAAAAACCTAGAATTAAATAAAAAAAGTGGTAAATTAATCATTTAGAGTGTAATGTTGATTATTAAACTACCTCTCCATTTAATCACGTTGTTACTGTGTATGGATTGTTTTTTTTTTTTTTTTAATTACTTTTAGCACTGTAATGGCCTTTTCCAATTTATTAGCTGGGGAAATGACATTGGGAGGACATAAGGTGGTTTAAAGATATTATTTAGTTAGATATTATATATGGATGTGATTAAAGAAATAGATAAGATATGGATGTTTGGTAGTGAACCTCTTAAACTATGGGATGAATTGCATTGGTTTTGGCAACCTTTCTGCAGGTGTTACTGGTGCAATAGACCTATTTTACCTGATGAATGTTGCCATGCACACACTCTTTATACCAGAGGTTAACCAGCACCATGCTGTGCAACCGTGTGTTGCCCACAGGATGATATATTTTGAGCATGCAATAATCATTTTAAAAAAGTACAGACTTTGTTGTTCAGTGTTCACACAGTGTTGCTTAAAAAAACAGAACAGAACTAAACCATTTTTGTTTAGTTTTGAAAAGGATTACTGAACAAATTTTACTGCTCAAATTTATCTGACTAGCCAGCTGTCATCTTGCTCTTTATTTTGTTATCTGCTAAACCAAAGCAGAAAAGAAGCAGCTGCAAAAGATAATGAACTCCTTGAAGACATGACCGCAACTAGATATGAGGGACCGAGGTCCAAACCTCAGTAGCTCCAGAAGGCTTTTTTGTGTTTATATAATGGCATTTTTTCAGTAGCTAAAAGATGCTTGTTGGAAAAAGAGCTGTTGCTAATCTGTTTTAGTTAAAATGTGGACACTACAAAAGCGTACATACACACTTTCTTATTAATTACCTAGCATCTTATTCCTTGAATATATTTTGCGTAAGTTTGTTCAACAAGAACAGTCAATGTTTATGTAAAAAGGCTATAATATACAACATAATGAACATCTGAATTCTATAATTAGATATCTTCTTCCAGCTGCTCCCATAAGGGGTTGCCACAGAGGATCATTGGATTTTTTTTTTTTTAATTTTAATTTGATTTGGCACAGTTTTTATGCCGGATGCCCTTCCTGACACAACTCTCCCCAATTTTATCCAGGGTTGGGACCAGCACTGGGAGTGCACTGTCGTGTGCAACCCCAGGGACTAGCATTGGTTCCCTGGCTGGGAATCGAACCTGGGCCATGGCGGTGAGAGCACCGAGGCCTAACCACTAGTCCCTGGAGTCTATAATTGACAATAACTAGATAAAAATAGATTTTTTTAGTAATGGTAAGCTCTCTGATGTAATCCTTAATATGAAATGAGTGATGTGAAAAATGTGAAAATTTTGAAAAATATGCAGGCTAAAAAAAAATACTGTGTAAGAAATAGTGATATATCTTCAATTTCGATGCTAATAAAAGCTCTGTTTCAGTAAGCAGACACAATAAATGGTATATTCTTGCAGAGGCCCTCTTGTACTATGTGCTCTTTTAATATTAATTAAGTTCACTGTGTCATTTAAGAAATATGAAAGCAATTGTCAGAAAAAAGCTTTTTTTGAGGCTGAAATCAACAGTTAACTAAGGCTTAGCCTTGCAAACCAAAATATTTAACACGATAAAAATTAAACGGTCTAACTGGAGTCAGAGCAGTTTGTGGAAGAATGGAAGGATAACATACACAGTACTTATTAACAATTAGCAACTGATGTAGCACATATTCGGCTGTGTAACTATGTAGCTAATGTTGTAGCTCGTTCGGCTAAGCTAACGTTGGCTTGCTGTATGAACGATAGGTTTATATTAATGAGCTCATTCAAATATGTTTCTATAGTAACACATCATTCACATAATCTAATCTAATCTAAACTTAATAATAAACAAATTGTTGTTTAATAATGAAAAGAGTATAAATATATATTATACTCTTTATATGCTCTTTATTATACTATATATTATTATAGCGGCTGCTGTTGCAGCTAAAGGAATTCTGAAAGTCGGGGAAGCTGCAGCACCCTTAGCATCATTACTTCCCACATCCCTGAAATTCATATTCAAAAACTTTTGTCAGCTTCCATGCTACATAGCCAACAAGACACAGAGGCACACAGCAGTGAAGATCTTTTTTCCTGTTGCTGGCAAGTCATCTTCATTAGATGGTTAAATGCTCATTCCAGCAACAAGTCACACAATAATAAACTTCTCCTCAGAAAGCAGCTCTGAATTGGAAAGTATTAATGCACACACTGTGCTCGTACTGTGGGAGTAAGAGTGCGCCATGTTACTTGCCAAAGTTGCACCCGCAATGGTCATGGCTTTATTCATGAGACCTTGCTGAATATACACTTCTATAAACTCTTCAGTTTCCAATAAACTAGAACATAACCGTAAGATAAAACTATTAGGCATTGTGGTAACCTGATCCGTGTTCCCTGACTGATTTGCGCTGCTCATGTGCACCACAGTTTTTAATGTTTAATAATTCTACCCAATCTGTACTGCGTACACATTTTCTAACATTTTGAAATAACTCATACACAGTATGTAAAGTTATATTAACTCTGGTAGGTACAGATTCTCTTATAGAAACTGGAATATCTTGTTGATTTAAAAAAAAATCTGAAGAAAAATTTTAACTTTTTTAAAACAATTGGATAGATTAATTGGTAGTTACGATACACATGTAATTACATAACAAAAAGATTAGTGACCACAGACTTTAAATACAAAATTGAACATAAGCTACTGAGCTAGATGAAAATTCTCTTAATCAGTTTTCCATGGAAACAAAATGGAGGAAATTTAGACCACCATACTCGATACTATTCATAATAACAGACTTTTTAACATTATGCCTTTTATGTTATGATAAAAGTATGTATTTCAGGGTTTGAATTTGTACCTTACACATTGCCACATTTGTAGCACTCCTGTTTTGAAACGTGCAACATTTTTACGCATGAGCTGGATAGACTAGCACCCTAAACCATTAATGGATGTGTAGTAGAGCTTGGCCAGCATCAACGCTAACTGATCCGTGTCCCCTGTGATTCCCCAGTATGCGTCCCTTTCCTGATCTGCAACCCACAGATTTGATTATACTTTATGACTCTACCAGACCTGTACAGCACATGTGTGCAATTTTATGACATTAGTGTACATTTTGAAGCAAACACCGTAATTTTGCATGTGAGAATGTGTTAGAAAGATTAAAAAAATGTCAGTTTTTCAAACATTGCAAAAATATCTTGAGGAAAGTGAGTTTGTCTAGAAACGTAGTAAAAGGTTGCGAGATGAAATAGCAAGTGAGGGCATGGGTTAACAGGAGTGTATAGGGATAGGCTAATTAACATGGCACACCAGATACCGGTCTGTGCTGGTTATATTTACAATCTCTCTCTCTCTCTCTCTCTCTCTCTCTCTCAGCTCAGTCTGCAGAAAACAAATATACAGGAAAGGTGTGTAGGTACGAGAGTGAGGAATGTACATGTGAATGGGTGAATGGGCTCTGTGGGTTTAAGGAGATAAATTTGGAAGGAAATCTTATTACTTTCCATAATTTTTGTAAAATATCATTTTTAAATAAATGTAAAAATGAATGTATTATTATTATTATTATTATTATTGTTATTATTATTATTATTATTATTATTGTTGTTGTTGTTGTTGTTAAATGAATGTCCAGTATAGAAGACTATATACACATTGGATCTCTACAAGTCAATGCAGTTGTTTGATTATGAACATTTAAAAACCAATGCAGTATTCATTAACATTTGAAGAAAAATAACAGATACCGAGACTTCTTTTCTTTTGTTTAAGAGAGAAAGCAAATTGGACAAATGAAGTATTTGATATTCAGTGCTCAAATATACAGTGGATATAAAAAGTCTACACACCCCTGTTAAAATGCCAGGCTAATGTGACCTATAACCTGTACAACTCAACTGAAAAACAAACTGAAATCTTTTAGGTTGGGCGAGTAAAAATAAAAAAAACAAAATAATGTGGTTGCATAAGTGTGCACACCCTTAAACTAATACTTTGTTGAAGCACCTTTTGATTTTATTACAGCACTCAGTCATTTTGGGTCTATCAGCATGGCACATCTTGACTTGGCAATATTCGCCCACTCTTCATTGCAAAAACGCTCCAAATCTGTCAGATTGCGAGGGCATCTCCTGTGCACGGCCCTCTTCAGATCACCCCACAGATTTTCAATAGGATTCAGGTCTGGGCTCTGGCTGGGCCATTCCAAAACTTTAATCTTCTTCTGGTGAAGCCATTCTTTTGTTGATTTGGATGTATGCTTTGGGTCGTTGTCGTGCTGAAAAATGGAGTTCTTCTTCATCTTCAGCTTTCTAGCAGAAGCCTGAAGGTTTTGTGCCAATATTGACTGGTATTTGGAACTGTTCATAATTTCCTCCACCTTGACTAAGGCCCTAGTTCCAGCTGAAGAAAAACAGCCCCAAAGCATGACGCTGCCACCACCATGCTTCACTGTGGGTATGGTGTTCTTCTGGTGATGTGCAGTGTTCTTTTTGCGCCAAACATACTTTTTAGAATTATGGCCAAAAAGTTCAACCTTGGTTTCATCAGACCATAACACATTTTCCCACATGTTTTGGGAGACTTCAAATGGGTTTTTGCAAAATTTAGCTGGGCTTGGATGTTTTTCTTTGTAAGAAAATGCTTCCGTCTTGCCACCCTACCCCATAGCCCAGACATATGAAGAATACGGGAGATCGTTGTCACATGTACTACACAGCCAGTACTTGCCAGAAATTCCTGCAGCTCCTTTAATGTTGCTGTAGGCCTCTTGGCAGCCTCCCTGACCAGTTTTCTTCTCGTCATTTCATCAATTTTGGAGGGCCGTCCAGTTCTTGGTAATGTCGCTATTGCGCCACATTTTCTCCACTTGATGATGATGGTCTTCACTGTGTTCCATGGTATATCTAATGCCTTGGAAATTCTTTTGTACCCTTCTCCTGACTGATACCTTTTAATAATCAGATCCCTCTGATGCTGTGGAAGCTCTCTGTGGACCATGGCTTTTGCTGTAAGATGCGACTAAGAAAATGTCAGGAAAAGCCTACT